CCTCTTCCTCCTCCTCCTCCTCCTCCTCCTCCCGGCGGCGGCCGCAGGGAGGGGCGCCCGGAAAGGGATCCCGAAGGCGAAGTCCCGAGAGCCTCGCCGCGCCCCGCCGGGCCGCCTGGTCGCCGCGCCGTCTGGGGCACCTGTGGCTGCCGCTGCTCCTGCGAACCTGGAGAGGAGCGGCTCACACTTTTATGCTGGTGGTGGCGATCGACTTTTTTTTTCTGCCTGTGCCAGCTCGAATCAACTTCCCTGCTACTCCTCCCGGTCGTCTATCTCGTTGCCTTCCCGTTGTGTTTTTTTTTTCTCTCTCCCCTCTTTCCTCCCCACTCTGTCCCCCTCTCCTTTTTGCTTAACCCCACTCCTCACTCACTCTGACTCTTCCGCAGCGACATCAACTCAGCGAGGGCAGCGGAGAGAAGAGCTGGGGCTCGGGAAATTCCTCCTGCTCTCACCTGCGCCGGCGAGATCGCGATCAGGAGAAAGAGAGAGGCAGCCTTCTCCTGGCTCAGCCTCGGACTGTCTCCCTTGCCGGTTGAGCTGCCGGAGGACGGGTCCGCAACAAGCCGCCCAGTCGCGCTCGCTGGAAGTAGCCAAACCGAGAGGCGCCGAGCGCTGCACAGCCACCTGCCGCGACGAGAGAAGGCTGGCAAAGGCGCCGCCGGGGTAATTTATAAGCACCCAAAAGCGCAGGGGAAAGGGGAGCTGCCTTGGCATCTCATCCCAGCATCTGCTCTGCTCATCCCACTCACGGAGAGTTTGGCATCTCACTGACAAGTGTGGGGAAATGTTTTCCTCCCCTCTTTCTGCCTCTCCCTCCCCTCCTTCCTATCTTTCTTTTCCCCCCTCGCTGAAATCGTGAGCATTTCCCTTGCTGAACCCAGAGTGATGACAGCTTTCTTTGCTGGAGAAGATCAAGGAGGGGGTAGAAAGCGAGGATCTACTTAGCACCTTTTGGATAACCTTCAGATCACTGATCCAGAATGTAAAGGTCAACCCCACTTCTTCCTTAATGGTTTCCCCCAGTGGCCTCCCTCTTTTCATGTGAAATATCACTTTTAATACAAGGGCCCTGCATTGCAAATTCACCCGACATCCCAGCAACAGTCACCGGGCAAAGCACCCACTCTGTCACCCGAATGAATGGAATTGGATGGGGCTCCAATTCTCAAAATTGCTACTGCATCTGCCTAAAACCCCATGACTTGAAACACATGGAAAATCTCAAGCCTTTTCCTCCCTCTTATCTCCTCCTCCTCTCCTAGAAATTACAAGCAGAGAATGATAGGGTTGTAGTGAACAAAGGACTTCTCCCTGCTTTTGAGCCAGTCATCAATCAAAGAGCTCTTGATGCTTCATGAAAGTGCCTCTTTGGTTATCTTTAAACGTGGATCAGGTTAAGAGTCGATCTGATGCTAGTCTGCTCTAGCACGAACATGTACATTAAACAAAGAAGAGGTTTGTTTGCCAACCCTAAGTGCACTTTCTTGAGCAGGTTGTTTGGCTGCTTCCTTCTTTCCCTTTAAAAGTTTATGACCAGGGCTAATGTGCCATTGCCATTTTCCAAACCCAGTTTTCCTCCTGATCCCACCCACAACCATGACCACTGTGCATATAGACTTGATATTTGCATTTTGGATTTCAGGGATCTAAAGAAGTAGGTTCGAAAGCCCATGCTAAAATATCTCTGTTAGGCTCTGCCCATACTATGAAATTTAGTGTGAGCGAGCCAGGTGCTTGAAAGGTCCCTTATCTTCAGTGCAATCTATTTTAACTCTTGGTGTCAGTTCCCGAAAGCAGAAAAAGAGTTATTTTGCATCTCAGTGAATAATCCCAAATAGATTGCATGCCTTAGCCTTGTGCCAGTTTGGTGTGGGACAACTTTTAAAGGGGAAGGATGGGTTGTTTTAAGTAGAAACACCAGCGGACAAGGTCTCCCTCCGCCCCATACCAAACAGTGCTATCAAGGAACCATATGCCAGTGTGGACAAGTGCCACAAGGCTCCTGTTGTGCATCTCTAGTAAACATCCTGCTGTCCTCTTGGTGGTGTAGGTGACAGTCACTCTCTGGCAAGGTGAGCTACACAGCCCCTTGACTTGTGGGATATGAATAGCAGTTCTTGAAAGCAGATATTAAACAAGTACTATTTCTTCAAAACACAAGGCTCAACAAGGCCACGTTAAACAAATATGCCAGATTGATTCCCAAAGCACACTTGTGCATTCAGAAGCAATTGGGTGTCAATCAAATGTGGGTGACATTTGCTTGTCAATACAGGGATGATGGCTGGAAAGAATGTGACTTATTATAAGCCAGGCAAGAATCTGAAATGAGCAAAAGTAGCAAATAAGGATACAGCTGCATAACACTGTCCCCAGTGAGTGTTGAACAAAAAGCGGTGATCTTATCTGGGGTTTGTATTGCACAGATCTCTTCTTTATCATTCCCCCCCTTCCTTTTCTCTTCCACAACACAATAAGGTCAAAGAGGCAGAGAGCGGAGAAACAAAAATCCATCGATTCCTCCTTTTAAGTAGAAATGTCAGCAGCACTTTGCGTTTTTCCCTAAGAGAATCAAGAGGCAAAGAGTTTGTGACTGTGTCGTACCACAGAGATGGGTCGGCTCAGCTCCTTATCTCTTCAACAGGCTACTGATAAAAAAAAAGTCTCTGCTTTTTGTACTGGTAAATATTCCCACCACCTCCCCTTTTGCTGATTTTTGTCAGAGTTCAACCTTTAATAAAGCTGTTATCTCCTGAAGACACAATCCAGTTGCCAGATCCCTTTGCTTCAACCTCCTGTTCTGTTCTCTGAAAGATGGTTAGGGGTGCTTGTTTATGCTGCACCAGCTGTTCCCAAAGGAAAGAATGGTCAAATATTATTTCATTATTCTGCCCCCCCGCCCCCCGCAGTTCAGTTTTCTGTACCCTTTGAAAAAAGTTGATGTTTTCCGGTCATCAGAGTTGGCCATAAAACTCCACTTCAATTTTATGTGCTAGAATGAACTCATTCCGTGAATGAGGATACTTATGTAGCCAAAACAGCATCACCCACAAAGTGCAAACCGGTGGGGCAAACTGTCCTGAAACTGGCCAATAAGGATTTGTGGGGGTGGGTGAGATGGAGGATATTAATTGGACTATCCTGCAAAAAAAAAGCATGGCAAACATTGAACAGGAGGACTCTGAAATGTTTTATGGTAAGTCTGTAAATTTTGAATAATAATTGAATGCTGTCAAGCCTATTCCAACTTATGGCAACAGATATGGTTTACCATTTCCTTCAGTTCCAGGGGCATCCTGGAACTGTGCTGCTTACCCAAGGCCATACAGGTTGGTTCTTCTAGGATGCACAGCAGGGAACTGAACTCCATCTGGCCCAACAGCCAGATACAGTATCTAGCTCATTGAACTATCCACCTAGCCTGTAATCCTTGAAGCAGACCCATGCACTTCATGTTGTTATATACTGCATGTAATATAGGTTATATTAAGTTCAGTTCTCTCACACTTTTTATTCTTCTGTTTCCCTCTCCTGCCTAACACTACTTGCCCAAGTGCAGGGATGGTGCTTCACCCCAAAATTTCACCCCTAGTGTACATGGTGCGGATCTACTTTTTTCAGGTTCTGAATGGAGCAAAACCATGTGCTAGTGCCATGTCATATTACTGTACTCCCATCTTAAGTAATTGCTGATTATCATGTTTCCCAAAATTCTAAGCTCCTCTAATGTGAACATCCTTATAATGAGGTGAGCAAAGAAGGAATGAAGCATTTAATATTAGGACAATGTTTCCAAAGTTTCCATTATCAAGTTATACTGGATCATACTGAGGAGCTAACAATACACTTATGAATACTGTGAATACGTTTTGAACATTTCCATTATTAGGTTGCATGATATTAGAGAATGATGAATACAAGATAAATGTGGATGTGTAAAAGCATACAAGAGCAATTTCTCATGTGGATAAGGCTGGCTTCTTTCCAAAGCTTGGAAATGGTGCTACTTTGGATTATGACTCCCAGAATCTCTCCCAGTATGAAGAGTGGTCATGTTGGTTGAAGGCTTTGGGACCTATAGTGCAGAAAAGCAACCTTTTCAAGTTCTTCTTCCCACCTTCAAGGTATTTTAGACAGATGTGTGTATTTTCAATTCCCATATTTTTTCAGCTGTCATTCTAGCTCTTCATCTAAGCTACAGAAAGCTTGCTCATACGTTTGTACAACCCAAATATATATCTTATGTCTTTTTTTTAAAACACACATTGATTCTTAAAAGTTGTAGGGTTGTCCCAGAGAGACACCCTTAGCCCTCCAGAGCCAGTTTTGGGAGCACCAAGGAGTTGCAATGAAGAGGGGTGGATTTATCTCCACATTTCCATTGGATTCTGCTATTCTGAGAAATTGCTTTTTTGGGGGGGGGGATGGCCATGTTGATGGAGAATGTACTTTTTGTTATGGTTATATTGAATTGGGAATTGTTTGAATTGTTGCCCCCCCACTAGACCGAAGTTGGGTCAAAAAAAGCTCTGCTAAAATAACAAAAGAGGAGACTGGTTTGCATGAAGTCTGGGAATCCTATGTATGGATGTAGATTTAGAAAT